CTAGTCACAATCAATTCAAGAAGACCAATTTGGTCTAGTGGGTGTTCATTCGTTCGATATACATTCAAACCAGCATCCATGCATGTCTGCACACAGACAAATTCGCCATGTGTGTATGACTCATCTCAGTCCAACCATGTGTATTGATTATCGCAGTACGCGTATCTCGCGCACACGATCTACGTCCATATCACGTGATAGGGCCTGGCAAGTGTGTGCCCACCAATCACTTTACGGAAGGATCAGTGCATGTGCGTGAATGCGTTCCCTTCCTTATTTCATGCCTATATAACTGCCGCATTGTGTATACTAAACAATAATACATTTCAGTGCCAGTTGATGTGACTTCTGATTTCATTTCGAGCAATTCGGTTATTACAGTCACTTCCAGTCTTTTGTGTTCCTGCTCGAATTGCATCGTTACGCGAGAACATATCCGTCAAACTGATGATACACAAGCAGAACGTTCAGAAAAGTAAGATGTGGCAAGTTATTTGGTGAAATAAGAATGACGAAGTGGAGAGCGCTGTTCTGTCGCATTGCACTGTGTTCATATATTTGTATGTGTTGTAATTGGAAATTATCCCGAGTGTTTCTTATTCCATGCTTCGAGAGATCCTAGGCCACAGAGTCGGAGTTTCCTCAAGTACTCAAAATGGATCATTTATCTCAACAGTCTGGCCCAGGAAAATGTTGCATTGAACTGATGTGATACGTCCATTTTGATTGTTTTTTTAGCCTGCTAACTAAAACCTGGATGCTTGACTTGATTTTCAGTCAATGATTCTACCGCCATCGATCGAATCGCTAGTTTCAGCATGCGCATCTCGATAATTGATTGAGTAAGCGCTACAAACCACTGCCAAACACCCAGGCAGGTACGCACCTAAACACAGCAAATTGACTTCGCCTATACTGCGGACGATTTGCACCAGCCAATCAGATTTCGGAACTCAGCCTTATATGGTTATCGAATCATTACTCTCTGAGCACTTGTGCTGGTAAAGAAATGTTTCTGGTTATTTGCTGTCTAAGAACTGAGTTCTCAGAATCAGTGGACACTGCTTCTTACCTTTGAGTCTTCATCACCTGAGGTTCGAGCCACCGATAGACGAACGAATTAGTCGCATGCCATGATTCCTAATGATCCACGTGATATTTACCATACTTCGAATTTGCACCCAACCTCATTTTACTAATAATGATGGCTTACTTTGCTGTATATAGCCGATGGGCAAGAGGAACTGTGAAATATATTAGGTAAAATAAAATATTCATTTAAAGGTGGTCAGAAGGCAGACCCGAGTATAAATAGGTGTGATATATTCAAATTCGCTGTTTCCCAACATCAGTCACACCATCTGCTAGTCACACAATTCAAACACGGATTTTGGTTAAAGAAAAAGAGCTGTGTAAAGCAAGTTTAGGGTAGTGATGTTCTAAATGAAAACGTGTAGAACAGAATAGTTTCGCCCTATAACATAGTGTGCGTTTCAGGTCCATTCTTATCGTTTGGTAAATAATCATAATGCAAACCAGTAACAGAATAACCGATCGGACACCCCAGACGAGGTCATGCCTGGTATCTCAATCTTTCCCAAAGTCAGAACAACCAATGCTTGAATAACTGTATAGTTCACCGAAGGTACGGCATGGTGGCATTGAGAACCAGCGAATATCAAACAAGCCTGTTGGGAACGGTGTCTCAGAAAGCCTTCTCAGTCCATTACTTATCGGGAATTTTGTTGCATCTGACCATCAAGTTAGCAAAGGATATGTTTTTAAAATAATCTACGGGGTCCCTCGGGATTCGTCCAGTTGGTAACAGCTATTCAGCCTTCCATAATGGATCGTTCTGTTTTCACATGGCAGTATTCCAGGTACCTCAGCTGAGAAGAACAACAATACGATTAGTTCCACTTCCAAACCACTCGGTAAACACTATCGCCACAAACTCCTCGTCCTCGACAATCCATTCATTGTGAAGATACAACAATTTGTGTACCAGTTCTAGACGGAAGATGAGGTTATCGGAAACTAGCATTGTGGAATGCCATGTTCGCATCATTTCTTACTGGACCATTAGCCATACAAAAACAGAAGACCGTTTCGGGTGGGGTACCAATGAAGCTAACACTGAGGTCAGTGTCATATTTCAATTCGGTATTATCAGTACTGCCGATGGTTCCTTCCGCATGGCCTGTGAGCTGTTTGAAACCTCAAACTAGTTTCCGAGTTCACCGACTACTTACATCGTATTGCATCTGGTTTGTGTTATTTCACTTAATCTCAAGATAATTATTACTAGTAACATTCAAAACATCACTGGTCATGAGTAATGTAATTTTAGTCTGTTAAGATAAGCGTTCAAGGACTGGCAGACACGCAGACAGACAGACAAGCAGACAGATGGATAGACAAACTGACTGACTGACTAACGGAATGAATGAATGAATGAATGAATGAATGAATGAATGAATGAATGAATGAATGAATGAATGAATGGGTAAATGACTGTCACACACAAACACTATCGAGTCCCACGGAAATATCCTCCCAATTGCCACGAAAAAAACGCGACCTGTTGTGCGCGCCACAAACTTGGTCACTCCACAATAACTTATCCATCAACAGACAGTCGAGTAATCCGAAGACGACTCAAGCAAAAACTCCGTCAGATTACGGACGCCGTCTGACATCCCATTAGGCAGATTTATAAATTAAATTATTTTTCTAAGAAACCTAGTACAAAGTAATACCAAATTATCAAATTATCGTAAGCAAGTTAGTATTATCCTGCACAACCCCTGAATGTCTCAATCAAGGACTCTGAATGGGAATCCAAGTGTATTTGATGGTCGTTCCTAGTAATACCCTTACGCACGATAAAATACTGATTTAAAGCTCCCACCAACAATGATGGTTGGACAAACGACTGGGATACAGTGGACTTACAATCATCATTCATCAATCAGAGACGAACAAAACACAAAAGCAAATCAGTCGATAAGATTTGGCACAAAATATTCCCCTATCAGTAAACGAAGGAAACTGATTCAATGGGAAACCCCTATTAGAGATTGGTGGAATTCTCATGGTTTAAAGACACATCGGGGTGCGTATTCTAAGATCTGTATGCATGGCAACACTTGAGAGCGTTTAGATGAATGATAAACGTAGCTGTGAGGAGTCTTGTTCAGAATCACCAAGCCTGGTGAACGGACCAAATTATTTCTACAATAGCCAGCAATACTTCCTCAGAGCTGATGGTAAAACAGTGTATGGCAACAAATAAACTGAGGCCAACAGTCAGTGTGAGATGATATGATATGCGAATCAAAGCATTTCCTTATCACTCCTATCCACACAACGTGGTCTGACCGAATACAACCCCACTAAGAAAACCATTTCTGCGAACAACGCACATTTATCCGCATCTGTAACAGTCACAGCAACGGAAACACTCTCTGTTTTGATCAGTCACACTAATAGTATTCTGCCTTCGTACTATCTCTTTTTATTACCACACACAAAACAGTTTGTATAAGGTGGCTGGTCATTGGAACCAAACATTTTCACGGATATTTGTTGGTTCACTTGTTCCTCATGAAGGGCTCTTCCGGTTGGTTAATCTGACTGTAACTCGATTGGTTGATTTGTCTCTAGTTGATTCCGACAGCTGTTGACCACTGATTGGTCAGTCGCCCCGCCTCACCAGCTCAATCGTGTCTTCAATTCTGGACGAGCCATTGCGTGCTCTCTGTCAAACCATAGATCTGCTTTACTGGGTTCAGCCGTGATCTCTGTTCTGGAAAGGTGAAGGCGTGTGGTCCGGCAACCGAACCCGGCCTCCTATAAGTGATTTGTTTCCTAATACCCCGAACAGAGTCTAACAAAGCTACTGCATGAAGTAAATCACTAAAAGGCAAATACGTTGGTTTCATCGATAACGTTTTATTTCCAACACGATTCTGATAGATATCCCGTTACGAATAAATTTTAATTATCCCAATTCCAGTCAAAAGAGTGCCGATTCGGTCACGTTTGAAAACCGATATTTTGATGCAGGTTACACATCACGGTGCCCAATCTGGTAACGAAAAGGCGGTGATTACTGAAACCCATACAATCTATCGTACGACTGAGAGTCTCGTCACCACCTCAAAGTTCCTCGTGAGGCGACTCATAACTGCCTCATGGCTTAAATGATGGCACAGTTGGTGAACAGTTGAATTTCCCTGTGAGTTCAGACATTTGTTTGGCTCGCAAATTGGTCTCGGACAACGTCGGTAGTATAATCATTCTGCCCAAAAGAACGCGTCTTTTGTGACTAACTATCGAACTTGACATGAAAATTGGTCCACTCATGATTATACCACTTTTTTCGGATGGTTGATACTTGGTGATATCTGATGTGGTCTGGATGGAAGTGCACGCTAGTTCATCCGAATTATTTGTGGGAAAGTTATCCGAGTCAAATTGGAAATGGCTTGAGTAGCTACAGTGGAATGGTACTACCCACAAGGACTTGGCTGAACACGAAATGCCCATGTGTCTTGACGGTTCTATGGCATCAAATGTGATCGAAATATTCAGAATGAACTGGACGTAGGTTGAATTTTATCAACTGAGGGCTTGTGAATGGCTCGATGGTTAGTGGCTTCTAATTTGATCTACTAATCTGTAGGACATCGACTTCACGTATGACTTCAAAAGGTCTCTTAGAGCAAACCTTCTAGTATACTTCACATCCAACGAGGCCTTAAGATCATGGTATAATACAAGTTGGAAACTTGACATCGTTGGACCTATTATACTTGAATTCAGAAACTCTGAGATACCCAACGAGGGACTATGCAGCAGCGGTTCTGTCTTGTGATTAGTTTGAAGGAATGTTATTCTGTCTTTAGATCTTCTGGCCTAATGAAATGGTGTGTTCAGTCAACAGACTCGTCAGTAACCCAGGCCTTCGTTGTGACCTTCTCAACATCACTGCTCACTTCTGGATTCAATCTTGGCACGCGATTTTAACGAGGTACATTCGGAATCGTCAGTCCCGTTTCTTCGAGTAAATGTGAACAACGATTCCGTGTACTCATCAATGAACAACGATTGGCATACTCCATATATGAGCCAGTTGTGCATGACAAAACCACTCGAAGCACTACGTTTGCCTGAGGACAGTTGACACATTACCAAAACTTCTATCGTTGTATAAATACTTCACAATGTTTGGTACGGTGGTGGAGAGCTTTGCTGTTTGTAAAACCTTTGCTACTTTTCGGTCGACCCAGAAAACGTTTTCACAAAATGCCTCCATGTTAGTGGAAGCTTAGAAGACGCTTGACTCGATTTCGTATGAATGAACAACTAGTTGGTCTTCCGGGCCCGCTGATAGATTATCTCTGACATCTGTATGTAGGTGTTGTAGTCCATTTTAGGTAGACTTCGCGATTTGTTACCAAACAAACGGCAGAGGGATTCGTTGTCCCCTTTGGTGTCCATTGCTACCATGGCTCACGTGATTGCTGGCTCGTTTTCCAATATCGGTCTTTCCATTTTCGGAACGAGTGCCAACCACTTGGTGTTTCCAGATGACCTGTTCCTGTTCTTTTAGAATGTCGATCGGCTTGATAATCGCTTGGTCATTCCATCAAAATTCTTAGCAGCTGCTGACATGAACATCAATGCGGAAGAATCAGTAAGATTCTCACCACGAAGTGAAGTCAAGAGTGCGATCCCATGGACCACTGACTTATAACGACAACAGGAACTGCCTACTATCATCTGGAGTTTGTCAAGTGGTAAAGCTCCATGGCTTGATAGTAAAATGGAAAGCAAAGTTATAACCACAATCCACGGGCAAGCTGGATAGAACTTAGTAAAACAACACCCAGGCTTCTCCGAAGTATCATGTGTTCTGATCTTTCGGCTCAATTTTAACTTCTTGATATGAGCCCCGACAACACACTTGGAATGGTTCATCAACGAACACTCAATTGAATGGTTGTTATGGGGTAAGCACGTAATTGGTTCCCATTTCCAAAAAAGTAAGCCGTTTGGTTTGTTCTGTGCCAGTAGAGTAGATGGAGGTGAGGGATTTTCCAACCTTTTAACGGCTGCATCATCGGCTTACCGTGCACGATAGGAAAGCCTGGTATAGTGGCACTCGAATTTAGCACGAATAACTATTGCTGGTTCTATTTTTATCCCGATGGTACAGAAAGGTAAACTTCTAATCAGAGTGTTCTCTACTATCGTTGTTACAATAAATGAGATCGGTGCTATTTGGAGGAACGAAATGCTCGGTTCCTGCAATGGTCGTGTTCTACGTGATTTCTCAATGAACAACGCATTTATCCCATGATTATCTGGGTATGACATGGTTCAATAACGACTCTAATTGCAATCCACATGGCTAATCAGGAGTCCTCATTCAACCAGGGTTTGACCGGTGGTTGCAACGGAGAGGTAAAGTGCCGAGAGGACTGTGGTGATGTGGAGTCGACTGATCACATTCTTCAGTACTATATTGTTACTCATGTGGCTTGACATGAACTGCAAAACAAAACCACGTCTTCACTGGAACCTTGTCTGTCAAAAAGGGGACTCAATATGATGACCGGACCTATTTACCTCTGAGGTACACACAATCCAAACCAGATTTGATCCATTCTAGATAGGATTCCGTCAACGAAACTGATATCTGTGTGATCTCCAATTAACTTACAGATAGTGTCGGGGTAAGTATTCGGTTCTTGCGATACAAGAGGCAACGCCATCAATGTTGGTCTTGGTCGCTTCGACTTGACCAGTGGTTGTCAATTTACTGTAATTAGATTGCTCAGGTGCTGTGGCGTCTAATTTGAGGAAATGGAATTTGGGACTTTTCCTCAAGGAGGTGCATGGAATCACCTGTCCCATGATGTGTTGTACAAATCGTTTCAGGAATTACAAGACTAATGACGGAACTACTGGAAAAGTACCAATTAGACGTTTAATATCTATAGAGAAGGCGAGTTTTCCCAACTCACCCCCTCCCCACATACCGTTCGTCTCCATACCGCTTTCCGTTCTTCTCATTAGTTAAAATTCTGATTGGAAAATGAATGGTACGTATCAGAAGCTTTACCAAAAAACTTGATTGAGTAGGATGATTTTCGATTCTGTGTCCGGTTTCACGATGTTTGTCCGCTGAAGATGCAGTGAGTGGATTGCTCGAAATGAAATCAAAAGATAAGCAAACTGGCACTGGAGTGTATTCGTTCATTGGTAGAGGAAATGTGACACTTTTATAGACATGGAACATGTAAGGGGAAAAAAGTACACGGGTATTGATCCACGAGCGATGTTTTTGGTAGGTACAAAATTGTCAAACTCTGCCACGTGACATGGAGGCGGACCATGCACACAGAAAGTGCCCACTGATGTAAGCAATGTCCACGCTTTCATTATGATGAGTCAAATTTACGAAAAATCACACGACGATTGGACGGTACACTGTACAAATGAATACTGATTGATTCAATAGAGGTTCTCAAATTGCCTGCAAGTAGGACATAAAATCGTTTGGCTCTGGTCTGGATGGAGCTGCGAGGCAACAATTAAAAGTAAGACATGAGCACTGAAATGGCAACTGCACATGTACGTAGAAATGAACAGAACTGAATACAGAACAGCGTTCTGTATCAAACGTACGCAAAGCAGGGCTTAACCCTCATCGTTGTGTTCATGCACCACATCAAAATAGCCATTCCCATTCAATGTCCTAGGTTGGAAAGCCGACTGCGGCAGCTGTGTGGAGCGGCATGACAAACGACACCCAAAAATGTCATGGTAATGCAACTACTTGTTTATTTTGCTGTAGACAATTTTCAGTGGTCAACAGAATGCTTAATTGTCTTACTGAGTTATTCCCAACCAACATCCCATGAAGTTTAATCTCAACATCATTTTCTACCTCAAATTTGTTATTGTCATATTTAAATTCTATAATCACCTCCTTAGTATGATACAATGTGGTCTACCAATCAAATATTCCTAATGATCAGCTCTTTTTCTTTTGGCGTGAAATGATTCGATAGAAAAATAGAACACTGACAGTACAAACGAGCCAAGGGCATGTTAGACCATTCCACTGACTGATTTTGGAAATTCCACGATTTGAGTAAACTGATCTCTTTTCCCCCACTTCTGGAGACCATCGCTTGGGATCCACACGAATCAGCAAAATGTAATAAACCTTCACAAAGCTGATGTGAGCTGGCAGCAATGTCTGACTAGCTTTAGTGATGAATGAAAAATCCATATAGAACAGTAAGTTATCAGTCAGTAGATTGATTAGTGAATGGATGGAAAAGAAGTTAGTAGCAAAGGACAGACGTCAATTTTTTTAGTAGTGCCTTGAACGGACAGACAGTTCACTGTATTGATGGGATGTGTGTTTGTTCAACTTACGGAAAGTATTGAGAGAAATGAATGTCGTTTACTTTCCCCCGTAATCAAACTAGATCCATGGTTATATCCCTGATCATTTTTCTGATACTCAACAAGTAACCACTTCCGTTTTGAGGTGGACAAAACGTTTGGGCAATGTGAATGGAGATCAATGTGATTTTCTGTAATGTTACAGGTGCATTTATTCAATGCAAATCCTATTCACATTGCTTTTAAATCATCCCACGAGGTTGTCATCTGGTTAGCTGATCGACGAATGGAGTGATAAAATGTGAGTCGAACTTCAAAACTTCGTTCCATCAAGAGAGCCTTTTACAAATTATACTGCAGGAAAAGTACCTCCATCTATAAAGACTCAGTTTGAAAGTATTTTGGTAAGGCTAAAACATACAGCCACGTGAATGAATTTCATGAATTAGTAATCAAAATTTAGCAACAAATGTAGGTATCTTCACCACTGCCCTTACAGCTCAAGTCCCATTCCCAACAATACATCAGAACTCATCCTATTTTAAGAAAAGCGAGTTATTCAATATCTATATGCATTATCTGATGGAGATAATCTCACGTTTCTAGGTTCCAGATATAAGAACACCACTGGTCATTATAAACTCCACTCAACATTTTGTGAGACAAGCTGACGATACAGAATAAGCGTTTGGAATTCTGTAACACTACAAGATTGAAAGTGTTGCACGTATATCATTCTTCGAAAGAAGGCATTAGTTTGATACATCAGTCCTTTCTGGCCAGTGGCTGGGAGTATTTAGTCGGCTCAAACAGATAGTGGATGGTAAATCTAATGAGTTCCTTTAACGAGACTTACACTTATTCCGCACTGATTGATAAAAGCCATGAAAGGTAGCCCGCTCTTAGACGGATTCATTCAGTCGCGATGTAGCGGCTCTTACCTGACAACAAAATACCAAACTCGTTTAAAATACCAGTGTGAGCTTAGACCTTGGGTGTGCTTTGTTTTAATATGTGTATTTGCATTTAGATTCCTAACGGAATGATAGAAGCTCTTCCCGAGCCCAACCAATACCGACATCAGGTCTTGCACAAGAATTAAGCAGGTTTATATCTCAACTCAAATCACATTTCTTCATAGTTAAATGAAATGGCTTTCATTCAGGCGTAACTGTACTTCAAGACACTTACCCACATCCAGGACAGATCCGTCCGTTTCAGAAGACATATATGACGAAGTGGGGAACCTTATCCGCCATCCCTCAAAGTAAGTAACTAGCCAATCAAACAATAGCCATTCCCTTTCGTAGGTTGGATTCAATGCTTTTATTTGAACGGGTGTTGGCAGCCTGTTCTTTTCAGTCAACCTGGTGCCACCCTGATTTGTCTCATCACCATTTCTTACCCAGTGGTCATGGGAACCTGGCGCACCTTGGCTCGTGTGTTTCGGTACTAGTGCTCCTGGCCGCCTATCACCTATCAATCTAACAATGCCATCAACATAACCATTGAATCCATCATCGTCTAACGTTCTTCCGCATTCCAATTCTGAGACAGAAATTGTATCAACAAAATACGTACTTAAATCTAAAACTATGTTTGCACCCCTCAGACCAGATCCATGTCCTCAAATAATTTCAAGTGTATTTGCATTCTCAGCCGATACATGTGAGTCTTTTATACAAAGTCCTGGTTGATGCAATTTGTTGAATAATAATCCATTGTTCAAATAGTTGACTACAGCTGTCAATTGACGAATCATCAAT